CGGCGCGATCATCCATCTTCGGACATGACAGCGCCCTGTCAGGCCTGCGCCCACGTCACCGCAGCTCAGGGCAGGACCTCCGCGCCGCACAGCAGCCCAGTGTAAATGAAGTTAATATTCGCTGACCCTGTGCATAGCCAATGAGGGAGAGGCGTGTCACGCGGCCGCTAATGCCACCTGACGCCGAGCGCGGGAGCTGCTCCACTACGGCTTCACGCTGCGTGCCAGTGTGTGTGTGAGGAAGCGTGTTTGTGTGTGTGTGTGTGTGTGTGTGTTCTGCTTTCTGCCGCAATACAGTGCATATCTTATCGGAGCTGCATCTGTGTGTGTGCTGACTGACAATCGCGGCACAGACCGTGCCGCACATGTGGGGACGCGCCGCCCGCCATGCGTCCAGGCAGGTTTATCAGCATATATTATTCAATGAATCGTTTTTTCCGGAGCAGCGCTCGTGTTCGGGGGGCCAAAGGCCCCGTGGGGGCCCCGTCCCCCGAAAACAGCCTCAGCCATCAGATGGATTATTTTTATTACCCGCTGATTTATATTCATATATACATGAGTTATTTCCGACAGCTTGTGGACGCCTGTCGTCGCTCGCGGCTCCGCAGATGCCCGGGGCCCAGGTCCTGTTTGGCGTTTGTTGTCACTTTAAGGTGGTTCATACTTCCCTTTTCTGCTACCTTGAAACTCCTTGCATCACATCGGAGGCCCGGTGTGAAAATGCTGCTTGTGAATGAGGAGACGGGAAAGAATAAAATGACTTTAAGACAGGCCTCTTCATCTCCCTCTGCTCCTCCAACCTGACCCTTCGTGACGCGTGATTGGTGTATGTGACAGCCAATAAGAATGCTGCACAGCTCACAGCTTTCGGTGATGACTCTTAATTACTATAGCTTTTTAATGGGAGCCTCCCATTGCAGAGAAAGTTTTAAATGAGCGTTTAGATTTTTTATATACAGCCTGAAGATCCATGCACGTCATCGCCTCCGTAATGTCCCGCACATTGTGTTGGCGCTCAATGGGAAACGTCGGCTTTGTATCCAAGGAAACCTCTTATTTTTTGTGATTTCTAATTTAGAAGCAGGGTACATATTTATAAGGCTCAAGCATGAGGGGTCAACCTTAAAATGGATGGCTTGTTTGCTATGGCTCTCAAAGTTGCAGCAGAATTGGCTCTCTTAGGTATTTCTTTCTGTTCGTGGATTGAGATGCAGTTGTCTAATGAGCAACAGAAAAAATAACGTTGCTTCTCATAAAAAAACCAAACCAAAAAAAAACAGGAATTTGGAGAAACCAGTAGGAAAGCCTTAATTTAGTGACCTCTCTTTGTCAATACCTTGCCTTTTCAGAATATAAAGCCGCTTTGTTCCAGCCTGATCCAGCATATCCTGGGTGACTGTTGCAAATTGAGTTAGAAGTTAGAACTCAGCGGTGAAATTCCAGCACAAGCTGTCTTAATGATCGTAATCCGTAGCATATAATTATCGTTAATGTAAACAGCACGCTGTCATTTGCGAAGATTGATTGCCTGGCTTGACCTGCTGGGGGCTGCTTGCGGATGCACCGGCACTGTCTTTGTGCATCACCCCGGGGCCAGGGGCCACGCAGTTAGGTCAGGTGGCCTCTTTGACATCTGACGAGACTGGTAGGTCAATCTGAAATCCTGATTTGTGTGTCAGAGAGAAACAGAAAGGCAGTGAGGGCCTGAGTGCTGAGGTTTTGGGATGTTTTTGCCTTCGATTAGTCGTGGTGGTGGGGGTCTCCAGATGAGGCAGACCTTTAGGCTGCCTGCTTTCATGTCTGATAAAAGCTGGTTTCCTTTTGTCTTCTCGAGCCTGAAGAACTTCACTGGGAGTGGACCATGACCACGAGCAGAAGTGACCGCTTTGATATGTTTTTTTTCCCCTTAAATGCACCAAACTAAAGGCAATTTCACACACATAAAATGCAGAAAATAAAAGTACGGGGTTCACTGGGAGCTGAAGGTAAATTCGAAAATAGTGGATGGTGTTTGTGGACAGCTTTGCAGAGAGTCGTCGCATGTTGCAACGTCGGTGTTTGTAACTAGATGATTCAGTGCATAAATCAGTCTGACAACATGGCTGGGAGAATGAGGCTGTGCAGGTGTTCGGGGCTGTTTTTCTGTGATCGTTTTGTCCGGGCTGTTTTTCTGTGATCGTTTTGTCCGGGCTGTTTTTCTGTGATCATTTTGTCCGTGCTGTTCTTCTGTGATAGTTTTGTCCGGGTTGTTTTTCTGCCATCGTTTTGTCCGTGCTGTTTTTCTGCGATCATTTTGTCCAAGCTGTTCTTCTGTGATTGTTTTGTCCGGGTTGTTTTTCTGTGATTGTTTTGTCTGGGTTGTTTTTCTGTGATTGTTTTGTCCGGGTTGTTTTTCTGTGACCATTTAACTATCATCATTAGGAATGTCCTGTTGGCCAAGGGCATTGCAGTATCTGTGACATTATTTTGTAGGAATTATAATCAAAGCATGGTGATAATTTAAAAGTTCCCTGTCCTTTGAAATAAAGTTTACGGTTTCATAACAATAACTACAGTTAAATGAATTTAATTTAAAAAAGCTCACATTTCATTCACAAATTTGTAATATTCAGCTGTGATTTTGTAGTAGTACATGATATATATTTACACCGTTTAATATAACTGAGATCAATGTAATTTTTAAGTCTAGTGTAAGATTTCAAACAATAACAAAATATAATCCAGATGAAAGTATTTGTTCATCTGTTTTTGATATATCTATGAGTCATATTATTTAATAATACTGTTATTTAGTGCAAATAGCTACAATAAATGGAAAGTCTTTAAACATACATATTTTTAAACAAAAATATGCACTTCAATGGCAATGGAAATTGTTTCCTGGCTGTCAAATCATTTTATGTTGATTTTTTTTTTATATTAAAGAGATCCACTGGACGCTAATACCTGCACATCTGTGTTTATCTAGCCACACAAAAAGGAATCACACATTATTGTGCTGATGTTATACAGCACAGGGTGAGGTGGTTGGACTCCCTTCTATTGCCATCTAAGAACTGTTCTCTGTTAAATCTCAGATACATCAGTCTACTGTATCCTGACTCTCTGCTCGTGCTGCTACATAAAGACTTTACGACCGAAATGCGTGACATGGACAGTAGCTAATGTCCACGTTCTTCCAAATGTAGGCCCGTAGCATATTAATCACATAATTTTTTCATAAAATTCAGCTGCTTCTTTAATTGACAGCTTGTTTAGGTAGTTCGAGAAACAAGTCTGGAAAGTGCACGGCTGTTGAATTTTGAATAGTGGCTTTCTGGCAGCCTAATTGCATTTTCATTTACATCCCTGTCATGGACACACGGTGGACATAATCAGGAAATCCGTCTGATGTCCAATCAAACACTTTCCTCAGGATTAACCCCCCCTTTTTTGGAGGATAACCCTTTAATACGGTGTAAGGAAACACTAATCTTGTCTTTGTTTCTTATGGAAAGCTACTTATCCCCATCCAGGCACAGGTACCAGCGATGAATAGAGTGGTTGTCTGCCAGTTTTGTCCCAATAACGCGTGGGGTTATGTGTGAGTTGGGGTGAGTATGTGATTTCCCCCCCATCCAATCTGTTATTTCTGATCTGCTGTTTTGCCGTCTTTTGTTACCCTCCATAAGCCTTTTCCGCCAGGATGTAGGTGTTTGCAATGAGCTGCGTTTGGAAGCGCGGTCTCTGAAACTCAATCCACGGCGGCTGGGGCACCTCCAGCTGAGCCGGGCCGGGCCGGGCCGGGCCGCTCGGTTCCGCTCCCCTTTGTGTGCTGTATGCATGGGCTCCGTCGCCCGGCGCCGGATAGAGACGCCTTTTTCTCTCTAAGGCAGAAGATTATAACATCTGAGGGTGAAGCCCATATGTTCAGCATATAGAATCTGCTTCTGTGTCTTTTATCTCCACTATGTGGGTTTTAGGGAGCGTGTTTTTTTTTTTTTTTTTACATTTTTATACATTTAATTAGAGCTGCAGGTTTTCAGTCTCGTTAAAAGATCTCGGGGCACCTGTTGGCCCAAAGTGTCCATATGAAAAGAAAAAAATCACAACAAGTTAAAACAAGAAATTTTAAATTATTATCTAAATATAATTAATGCCTGTATAAGAAATGCAATATATAAATGCATAATAAATACAATTTTATACTTAAAAACAAGTTCATAAAGCAAAGTTATGAAGGATTACTAAATTATCAGAGATTTTCTGTGGGATAACGTAAACAAGTCACTAATTCCTTACTAATGTTTGAGAAAAACAAGGCAGAAAATGTGGGAACCCGAATTATCACAAATGGGTATTTAAGTGGTTATGGTAAAAATAGATTTTTATTTTTTTCATTTCCTTGCGGCATCAATTAACATTCATATCACGGGCAAGGTGCCGTTTGTCCAGAGCCGGGACCAGACGGAGTTCTGAGTTCTGAGCGTTCAACAAATTCAGACATGACCTGTATCAGGCAGGAGTGGAACACGGTTTTGTAGCAGACATTAGGCTCTGCATTTTCGCTTCTTAAATATTACGTTGAGACTTTCTGAGGAAATAACAACTGAAAATGAAGACCTGAATTGCAGGCAGTTCAATTTCAATGAAATGTTCAATTTCCTGTGTATTCCGGACTGGTGGCGAGACTTAAATGAAACCAAAATGGAGAAAGGGAAGAAAACAGCAAACCAACAAGAAGTGGTGCAGATTAGGGAAATAGGAGGGTGCGATTTGCGCGCGGGTCGTGTTGTCGTCTCTTGGCCTGCGTGTTGTCGTCTCTTGGTTTCTGTGTTGGTGTTTAAATAGAACCTCGCCGTCAGTCAGTGCAGCAGCGGCTGAAATAAGAAAACAAACCGTGGCTTTTATCAGGCTTGACCTGCTCCACCTGGCATTCATCAGTAGCAGGGGTCGCCTGTTGCTGCTGTCGTCCGCTCGTTTCCTCTACCTCCTTTATCACTCTAATGGGGTGCTATCTGCAGGCCGCTCTCCACGTCCGCCGCCCCGCCGCCCCGCATTCTTTCCACATCCGTCCCGACAGCCGGGCAGATTCAACACATGACCGGACCTGGGCAGGGAGGGAAGTCGGGGTCCTGGGGAAGGAGACCGTCTGCCACGTGCCTGTCGCTGGGCACTCAACCCGACGCGGAACCGCTGTCCGCTCCAAGCCACGGGGAAACAGGAAGTGAGACACTCGGGGCTGCCCTTCATTTCCTGGTGGAGCCGACCTCACCGCCATTCTCGATGGAAGACAGAGATAACCGCCTCAGCTTAATTTGGGCGCTACGCTAAGTGGCTGTTTTGCAGAAAAGACGTGATTACAGAGCCCATGGCTGGACGCATGTGACATTTAATAATGTTGCTCGGAATTTATTTAGTTATTTTTATTTAGCAGAAGCTTTAGCCCAACATACCAAACAAGTAAGCCAAGTAGCACATAGCAACCATACTTACTTTCAAGCCAGCTAAGTGTAAGTGTGCTTTCTAGGTGTAAGTGTGCTTTCTAGGTGTAAGTACAGCCTGGCTGAGCCTCCAGTGAAAGCCCAGGTATGAGTGTAAGCAGGACTGGAGCAGGAGATACACGACATCTTCCAAAGTAAGAACCAAATAAGACAACTAGCCAACGAGAAGAAAGTGCAGTGACTAGTATCTGAAAATGAGTCGGGTACATTAATACGCTGGTGGTGACTAGTGTCTGAAAATGAGTCATTATTACCCCGGCAGTAACTAGTGTCTGAAAATGAGTCTGATAC